CCGAAGCAGCGCCAGCCCCCCCCCCCCGCCTGCCTCAGACTTTCAGCCGCGGAGCCAGACAACAAGTCTAGAAACAAGGCGAAGCGAGGGGCAGCGCGACTTAGCCAATCCGGAGAGAGGAGCCGCTAGCAACAGCCAATGACCCTGCTCTGAAGGGCGGCCGTGAAGGAAGGAAGATCAAGTTAGGATGTGTAGAAAAGGAAAAAAAAAAAGCGGCGGGGGGAGGGAGGTGGTGAGATAGAGAGTTCCAACTGCCGCGGAGGCTCTCAGGGCTGCTGTTGAGTTTTTTCTTTGAGGGGACAGAGAAAAGGTTGAAGGCGAGGTTAGATGGAAAAGAAAGTCGTGGGCCTTGAAAAGAGTACGAAAGAATTAAAAGAGAACAAGAAGGAAAGAACGGGCTGAGTTAATGTACAAATAAGATAATTAAGGAAGAGGAAGGAGGGATTCTGAGCTTTGAGTTACTATGGAGGAGGTATGAGGAAGACCGTTATCAAAGAGGGAAACACCGGATCAAGAACTGCTTTGGCAAGATCTCCTCTATGTTAATGTGACACCAACTTGGCAGTATGCAGTGTTATGGCATCTGATAGTTGTGTAAACTAACGTTTGAAGCAGCCTTCCCCAACCATCCTCTCCAGATGTGTTGGACAAGTCTGGCATATGCCAACCAACATGCCAGTGGGCCATAATAAGATGGCATGGGAACAAGGGGTCCTGGGCCAGTCAGGAGAGGATTTTCATATCAATACATACCTATCAGGATAAGACCCCTTCCCACGGTCAACAAACATGCAAAGAGTGGAAGGGAAGGGAAATATTGCTTGTCATCTGAAGATCTTCACCCTCTTTCAGTACATGCATTTTAATCCCCCTACACACAGTCAAGTTTATTTCACATTTCTACCATCTCAAATCTCCTTCTAAGATTGGCTCTCTTGCTCCTCCTCTGGTTTTCTTCATTATTGTTTCCAGTCTGGGATTTGCTTGCCCCTGAAGATGAATAAATTACTTACTTGATACTATTGTTGATGTTCACATACCAATTTCTTTCAGCACTGAACAAAAGAGTTTGGGCAAAGGCCTTTCTCTCCAGCTCTGAGAGGATTGGCCAGCTAAGAGGAGTATGGGAGTGGATATGAGTTTTCCTCATCATGCTTCATTCACTGAGATGGGGAAAAGGAACACATCATCTGAATTCCTCTACTCAGGAAGGAAAAATAGCCTTCCATACTGCACTCTACAGCATCATCTATGAGCTCTACCCTAGCTTTCAGATGACATCTGAGTACAGTACTGCTTTTAATATACAGTGCATTTGGGAAGTATTCAGACCCCCTTCACTTTTTTCAATTTTGTTATGTTGCAGCCTGATACTACAAT